CGGCTGGCCCGTCGAGCCACCAGCGGCTGCGAGGACGGGGAGGCTTAATGCGAGGGTGTCTCCCGATCAGAATTTCAGTGTTGTGTAGTGTGACAACCGCCGCCATAGTGTCCTGAACGTTGCGCCTGTGGCACTCCATGCGGGTATCAAGGATGCGCCACTTCGTCTTCATGCGGCCATTCGCTTGCTCGACGATCATACGAGCGCGTGATTGCTACTTGTTCCAGACGGCCTGGGCATCAGGCAAGAGGCGTCCCGGGGACGTGCGGAACGGGACGTACGTGCTTTTCTCTAGGCCGTAGGCAGCATCACTAACTAGGCAGTAATCGCCAATCAATGTGTGTGCTAGCCTTAGAGTTTGCAAATCCCGTGCATCGTTTACCTGACCGGGCCATCCCACGTTGAAATCCCATATGATTCCGGTGCTGTCGACTATTAGCTGTAGGATAACGAAGTGGAAACCTTTTCTGTTTTTTCAGTCTTTCTTATGAACACCCCACCCGCGAGTGGGAATGTATGTGCCATCCAAATCTCCGAAGATCCCTAAAGTCCTGCTTGTCCAAAGAAAATAATATTCAAACATGGCAAACTCTTCCTCGTCTGGCCAAGTAACCTTCTCCGGCGAAGTAACCTTCTCTGGCGTGAAAAATTCCTTGCTAAAACGGATGTAATCACGAACAATATGACGAACATGGGTATGGGACAAGCTGAACATCATCTTGAGTTGGCGGTAGGTTAAACCACCACCAAAGCGCGTTAGCACAATAGTAATGCAGAGTCGGAGGTTTAGCCCATATAGACCCCTGCATTCAAAGTCTCTTGCATATGTTCGAACCAAGAAGCCGTAGATTGCCTCGTCCACACGCAAGGTTGCATAGAAGTGCATAGGGGTGAAGTCTAGCAGCCGTTCCTTCCTTGATAACTTTTGTGAAGGTTTAAGTGAAAACCTCTTGGAGGTCCATGAAACACAGATGCCATGGACCGCAATGGCCCAGGTGCTCTGTGATAACACGGATGGTGCTATCAATCATGTCGAAGACGGACAAGCTCTCTTCTGCATCCTTTGCAGCAAGAGCCTCCCTGCAAAAAACACACACAATGACAAAGTATATTAATAATCATAAAAAAATAACCAAAATCACTTTGGCAAAGAGCGATTTCCACTTGCCGGTGGGCATTGCAATGACATGAGACCAGATGAGAATTGCAAAGATGCAGCCATGCCTCCAAGCCCGACTTTGGGCCCATCATCACAGACGCACCATCTGTGCTGATGCCCACGATGCGCCGTATGTCCATGCCACACGCCTGCAAGTGGGACAGCAGCAACTGCAATGGCGCTGCATCCACCTTGTCGACGGTCAGGAGCACCATGAACTCGGTGACGAGGCGTGAGTCACGGATGAACGTGACGAAAAGAATAAGGCGCTGGCCTCTGAAGCAATAGGTGCTCTCATCACACGATATTCCGATGTAGGGCTTGGCAAGAATCTTCTCGAATCTCGTTTGTCTGCAGCCACGTTGCTGTAGCTTGAGTCTTCTCGCCAAATCTGTACCGGACATACAAGCAGTGAAGTAGAAATTAGCAGGTGTTTAAATACTATACAAAACGAAATAGGACTGACAAAATGAAATTGGCAGAGTTTTCTTGTCTTCTCGCCGTCTTGCACGAGCGGATGCTTGTCAATCCGCGGCAACCTCGTCGCTCCAACAAGCGCATCCCGCCGTTGGATCGCCAGCTTGTGCTTGTTCGTCCCAGCGAGCGTAAAGGCTTGCTTCAAACGTCGACTGCTCCTTGGCTGCCCCTCCCGGTCTTGCCCGCCATTCCTGCATGTTCCAGGCACACTGAGCACATGAAAGCAGGGAGACCACTTTTGCTTTTACAAGTTGTAACCATGCAAATCGACCTTGCCACTGGATTTTGAATCTTTCAAGAGCAAGGGTGTATAGCTTCTCGTTCGATGCAGACTGCTAATTCGAGGCAGCAGCTTCAGGTACAGGTGGAAGCGGGATGCCGGTGGGTACTGTTGGAGGCGTTGATTGGGGGCGGATTCAGTTGAGCCTTAACTGTACGAGACGAGAAGCTAGGGGCACCGAGGCAGCTCCTGGTGGTTGAGACGTCAGTGGAACGATGCGTGAAGTCGGGGACGCCACGTCAGGAGATGCTGGTTGAGACGCTAGTGGAACGGGGTGAGATTTCGGGGACGCCTCCACAGGAGCTGGTGGTTGAAATGGCGGAGGAACGAGGCGTAAAGCTGGGGACTGCTCTGTTGGTGTTGACGGAGAAATCTGTACTATCATCGGTACAGATTCAGTAGTGGGCGGGGTCGGTCTATCTCTGACTGGGTCGCTAATGGCGGGGCGGAAGTTACGGCAGGAATAGCTATTGTTGATATAACAGCTTGATTCTTGCTACGCGCTGTAGTGTTTGTTTTCGACAGCGAACACAGCAATAGGTCTAGACCGTGTGTGCTATCTCGAGCTCGATGTCGTCAAGCTTATCGTCAGCAGCATCTCCATCAACGGGTGCAGCCATGGCGGCAGAAAGGTCGAGAGGAGACTGATGGGAGAGTCAGCCGAGAAAACGGAAAGAAAATTGAAGCTCCCGCATTGCAAGAAAGAGGAGAAGGAGATGAGAAAGGAAGGGAGGGACACACCCCACCCCACTTTGCTATTGATTGATTTGAAAGGGAGGGGCACCCCACCCACCCCGCCATGCAGGCAAGGGAGGGATGGTCCTCGATGGGCCATCCACCAAAACGAATGTGCCCCTGTTTCTGGCACGTTTCCACTGCGACATGGTTTACGACCGTGATGCAGTTTAATCTTGCCATGCCAGTCTTGGGCGCGTGATTGGGTACGGCGTCTGTTTACCCGAAACTGTCCAATCCCTTGCCAGCTTGAATGTTGATGGCGACAACACATCAAGTCAGGTGCGACATCAGGTACAATAAAGATGCAGGGTCCTGTGATTGACGGTGACGGCGGAAAGTTTTTGGCGTGCCAGATTCCATGAATCTAGGCATTTTCGCCAACAAGGATGGACTCGCTACAATTGGATTTGGATCAGGGCCCTCAGGTAAAGGTTAAGTACGCAAACACAAGCTGAAGCATCAAAGGAAGGATAAAAATTTACTCTTGTTGATCAACCTCGGGTCATACAAACACCCTAAAATTCAGCGTTCAAACCTAAAATCTGGGTAAAATTCTTGACTTATGAAGGTCTCGCACGTACTCTTCTAACTGCTGGCGTTTCTCTGCTTTCCTAACTCCCTTCCCTGCTCTGCTTCACGACGCCTTAGCTCCTCTGTGCACTCGCTCTTACGATGGCCCGGCCTGCCAACCGAACCGTGTGGTTGGGTCGCGATGTGAACAGCGGCGGGAATAGTGGTCGAGGCGAGTGTCAAGAGTGGTAACATTTTACTGCAGGGTGCAGTTGGCGGGAACAGTCATGTACGCAGTAAGGATTGGGCGCGACGTAAGGAAAACAATTTTTTGTTACACAAATCATTTCCTGTGCATCACCCTGCGATCAACCGTCACCAAGATTTTGAGTAACATGCAGGCATGCTCTGCGGTATAACATTACTTTACAACTATGGTACCTATCCATTGGCTACATATGGACAAATCTATTAGTTGTTCTACCAGCCAACCACTCTACTATTTGGGACCCTACAGACATTCCCCGAATCCAAGGATTCATCCAAGTGTTAGAATATAATACTGAATGTCCAGCTCCTGCTGGCACAAACGCAACCACAGTATCCCTGCTTTCTATAAAGCTCTCCAACTCGTCATTAAGAACAGACGCAGCAACAAACAACGCGTCTCGCTCCCCGGCTGTACAGTACTTCGTCCACCACTGTATCTTGCTCCACTCCTTTCTCTGTATAATCCCTGTTACATCCCTTATCCGCATAATTTCACCTAAGCATGCCAATGCATACTTATTGTTCCACGGTAGGAGCCCGCCGATCTGGGAGGCTATAATGTCGAAAAACGTGTGGAAAATAAATATGGGGGTTGTTACATCTTGTAGAGTGTACTGTGGGAAGAAGCATTTCCATTGGTCGGCCTCTGGTAGAGCTGCGGGGGAAAAGAGGAATAAGGGTTGGGAAGAGAGGGAGGACGAGGGGATTGGGTGTTGCATAAAGAGACGTGGGAGAACGAGGGACAGCAGGTCTCCAGAGAAACGGTGTGACGGAGAGAACGGGGTGGTTGGCTTTTGAAACTTCTCCAGATAGACACCCAGACGAGGGAGAGGTTGATTGCAAAGCCTTCACGCCATTCACAGCGTTGCGCCGCGTGGGCACTTGCTGTGCCAGCATCGACACCCCTTAGAGGCGCCACAAAAGGCTTTTGAGGCGCCTCAAAAGGCGTTGCGCCGCGTGCGCACTTGCTGTGCCAGCATCAACACCCCTTGCAGGGAGTTTTTGAGAATTCTAAAAAAATCACAGCGTTGCGCCGCATGGGCACTTGCTGTGCCAGCATTGACACCCCTTAGAGGCAGGCCCCTAGATTGGTTTTGGGGTAGGCTGAAAAAGGCTGAAATCTAGGGGCCTGGGCAGGCCCCAACCTGTGTTGAACACAGTAAGCCAGAGGGCAGTAAGCCATAGGGCAAAGAAAGCTTGTCAGTTCTTTGCCTGCGTCGAACACAGTAAGGGGTTGACAACCCCTTTGCCTCTTTCACCCTCTCCCTCCTTCCTCCCCTCCCCCTCCCCTTCTCCCCCATTCGCATATAAGCATGCCAGTTGGGATTGTGCAAAGCCGCAGTGCACTTCACAGCGTTGCACCGTGTGGTAACCATGCAACCACTTTACACGCATCTCACTGTCTTGGCAGGCAGGCCAGTTGGGCTTGTGCAAAGCCGCAGCGCACACTTCACAGCGTATGAACAATGTAAGCGCTATCCATGCATGTCTTAAAGCAATGCATCGCATCTCACCATCTTGGAAAGCCAGCCAGCTCGGCTTGTGCAGAGCAACAATGCTAGTCTCCTACTCCTTCCCCCCTCCCACTTCTCTTTCTCCCCACCTTCTCCCCACCTTCTCTCCCCTTCTCGCCCCTTCTCGCCCCTTCTCCCCCTTTCTCATCTCACCATCTTGGCAAATTGGCCAGCTCGGCTTGTGCAGAGCAACAACATCCTTCACAGTGTTGCGCCATGTGTACCCACCCACTCGGTCTTTGGAGTCTGAAAAGGTTGGGGGAGGGCGAAACAAGGGAAGGTCTGGTTGTTGAGATTTCTCAACAACCAGCTTGAAACGAGGGAAGGTCTGCTCGGCACGGCACAATGCTCTTCACGGCACAATGCTCTTCACGGCACAATGCTCTTCACGGCACAATGCTCTTCACGGCACAATGCTCTTCACGGCACAATGCTCTTCACGGCACAATGCTCTTCACAGCGTTGCACCATGTGTACCCACCGCCGACTCTATTATCACACCCTCACACCCTCCCCCCCAGCAGCAGCTGCAGCAGAGGGAACGAAAGGAGGAGGAGGGGAAGGGAAGCACAACACCCCCACACCCGCCACCCCCAGACCCTCCCCCTTGCAGCTGCAGGGAGACGAAGGAGAAGGGGGAAGGGGGGGGGGGGGGGGGCGGGGGGGCCGACGCACGGCCTCCCCGGGCGCCAAAGCAGGCGGCAGAGGGGGCGACGCCTGCCCACGCCTTCCAGGTCGCCCCTCCCGTCACCTGTCGAGGCGACCTGAGGGGGCCGCGTGCGGGTAGGCGACGGGGCCGTAGGGCCGCAGGTAGGCGACGGGGCCGTAGGGAGGCGACGGGGCCGTAGGGCCACAGGTAGGCGACGGGGCCGGGGCCGTAGGGCCGCAGGTAGGCGACGGGGCCGTAGGGCCGCAGGTAGGCGACGGGGCCGTAGGGCCGTAGGTAGGCGACGGGGCCGTAGGGCCAGGGGCACGTCACGAGGCGTGCCGAACACAGATTAGCAGCGGAAGCTTTAGGGTGGGCCCACAGGTCAGGACCTTGGTCACTCTGATAACATATCAAAGTTCTTAGCTAGGCTTGGGAGCCATAGCTAGTTAGATCGAGTGAGTTGAGTATCGAGCAAGTGGAAAGGAGAATGAAATCGAGAGAATGAGGGTTTCACTATAGAAAGTTGTAAAAGTTATAGTGAAGGAAAAGGGTGCACCACTTAACATGAAAGCGATATAACTACACTAGGTCTACACTACAGGCAGTTATAGTAATGTATACAATTACATTCTGACATCTATCCTTGGAGTCTGACAGGGAAGTGCAGGGAGGGGGGGGGTTGGAGCAAGTGGGAAGGGAAAAAGGAGGAAGGAGAATCGTTGCACCACGTGAACCCACCCACTCGGCCCTTGGAGTCTGAAACAGGTACGTTCAACGGATGCTCGTTGTAGCGGTAGCTTCGCAAACACTGTGCAGAAACATATATTTATCTGAGCATTAATATTGTTAGTAGTAGTAATAATAATAGAAATACTACTAGTAGTAGTTGTAATAAACAACACTAATAATAATTATTATGGTAAAAATAACAGTAGTAGTAGAAATAAAAACCCGGCAGTGAAAACAGCAGGCTCACCGATAAAGAAGCCAGCGTCGGTGATGCATTTGGTTGGCGCCCAAGGAAAGGCTGAGATGGGAGTGGGGCAGAGGAGAGCGAAGAGATTCACCAATAGGCACTCACCGATGAAGAAGCCAGCGTCGGCGATGCATTTGGTTGGCGCCCAGGGGAAGGCGGCAGCGATGCGATCGCAGAGAGACACGACTGCTTGGCCGCCCGCTGAGCTGCCCGACAGGAGAATCTGCGCTGCCGATGTTATTCCCCCCTTAGCTTTCAGATCTGATTGCGTTTTGGGCGGTGGGTCAAGGGGGAAAGGTGGAAACAAGCAACAGGGAGAGAGACAAAAAGGGGGGACGGGGGTGGGAAGAGGGAAGGAGGTTACAGAGTGAGGAGGTTTTATACTCTCATCCTGCCCCACACACTGTAACCTCCTGCCCCACAGGGAAGGAGGTTACAGAGTGAGGAGATATGAGGCAAACACACTCCGTGTTGGTTTTTGAGAATTCTCAACTGTTGAGGCGCCTCAAAAGGAGATATGAGGCAAACACACTCCGTGTGATGGGGCAGATTTTATACTTCCTTTTTCCACTCTCATCCTGCCCCACACACTCCTGTCACTCTCACACCTCATAACCACTCACTCCAAAACCACCTGACCATACAAGGCAAACAGGGTTCCTTCCCCACTCTTGAGGCGCCTCAAAAGTCAAAACCATCTGACCATATGAGACAAAAAAGGTTCCGTCCCTTCCCCGCTCACTCACCCTCTATCACCGCTTGAACGATGTTCCTGCCATCCAGGTAAAGTACCGTGCCATTGCTGTCAGCCTCAAGCCTCCCTGCCGTGCCCGAGTAGCCGCAACCATCGCAGTAGATGAGACGAACGAGGTTCCAGTTGTAGAAAGGCGGGTTGATGGTGCTGTTGCTGCTGAGAATGCCGTTGAAAGGGGGACGGAGAGCCTGCACGGGGGAGGGGGGAGGGGGAATGGGGGAGGGGGGGAACGGGGGAATGGGGAGGGCGGGGAGGGAAGGGTGGAGGGGTAGGGGGTCGACTGAGTCAAAACGCTCAAACGAGGCATCACTGAGTCATTCTGAACAAGATAAGTTTTGAAGTCGACTCAAAAACAGACTCATCACACGCGACGGGGAGGGGGGAGAAGAAGAAAAGGCTCAAGCGTGGTAGCGCTGACTTTTGAGAATTCTCAAAACAGAAGAAGAAAAGGCTCAAGCGTGGTATCACTGAGTCATCCTGAACCGAAGTACGCATCGGGCCCCACAAGTACCGGGGGGGTCGACACACACACACACACACACACACACACACACACACACACACACACACACACACACACACACACATCTCGATTTAAGTGTGTTCCACGTTATTGTATAGGGTCGGTAGGATACAGCGTGCTGGTCCCGTAAAGCGCCTTGAGTGAGGTGAGGGGGGATTGAAGGGTAGATTGAAAGAGGGGGGGCTATAAAGGCGAGGGAGAGGCATACCGCGTTGGGTTCAGGGTCGGTAGGATACAGCGTGCTGGTCCCGTAAAGCGTCTTGCTCCTCGCCACGCACTGGGCGGCAGTGCCACACCACCCGCCGCCCGGCAGGTAGATGAGCCACATGTTCTTGCCGCCGCCCGTGCCCGCCCGGAAATAATACCCTGGGGGGCTGGGAAGGGAACGGGGGGTGTGGATGGGGAGTGAGGTTAGTGAGAATGAAGGGAAGAGGGGAGGGGGAACTGGGGAGAGAGAATAGGGGAGGGGGAATAGGGGAGAGGGAATAGGTGAGTGGGAACAAAGGAGTGAGAATAGGGGAGAGGGGCGTTGGGAGGGGAGAGGAGAGGGAGGAGGTGGGGTTGCGCCGTGGACGATTTTTGAGTCGACTAAAAAATCGACTTATCACACACGGCTTATATGGTGGGAGGAGAGAGGAGAGGGAGGAGTTGGGGCTGCACCGCAGACATGGACGTTTGCATGTTGAGACGTCAGTTACAACTGAGGATGTATCTACCTCCTCCCTCCCTCCTCCCTCCTCCCTCCTCCCTCCCCTCCTTCGCGTCGCCTGCAGAACGAGTCGCCCCCGCTCCCCATCCCTCCGCTCCCCATTCCCCCGCTCCCCATCCCTCCGCTCCCCATCCCCCCGCTCCCCATCCCTCTGCTCCCCATCCCTCCGCTCCCCATCCCTCCGCTCCCCATTCCCCCGCTCCCCATCCCTCCGCTCCCCATCCCCCCGCTCCCCATCCCTCCGCTCCCCATCCCTCCGCTCCCCATCCCTCCGCTCCCCATTCCCCCGCTCCCCATCCCTCCGCTCCCCATCCCTCCGCTCCCCATCCCCTCCGCTCCCCATCCCTCCGCTCCCCATCCCTGCGCTCCCCATCCCTGCGCACCCCATCCCTCCGCTCCCCATCCCTCCGCTCCCCATCCCTCCGCTCCCCATCCCTCCGCTCCCCATCCCTGCGCTCCCCATCCCTCCGCTCCCCATCCCTCCGCTCCCCATCTCTCCGCTCCCCATCCCTCCGCTCCCCATCCCTCCGCTCCCCATCCCTCCGCTCCCCATCCCTCCGCTCCCCATCCCCTGCGCTCCCCATCCCCATCTCTCCACACCCACCACAGCTATTACTCGCCTGCAGAACGCGACGCGGCTGCTCCAGAGTTCCGCCAACGACCCCTGCTTTCCTTCCGCCTTGGCCTCCACTCTTTCCCTGCTTTTTCCCCTCGCACAAACTCCTCCCAGCAAAACGATTTGCTTTGCTTCACTTTCTTCCCCTGCACTGCCCTGCCCCTTTTCCTCCCCCCCCCCTTCCCCCCGTCCCACTTCCTCCCCCTCCTTCCTTCCTCTCCCCCATCCCTTCTCCCCGCCCTCTTTCCCTTCCTCCTTGTATCTCGAATACCTTGTGAAATAAGTTTGGTTTTCACCAATCTTATTTCACATTACCTTCCGTCGAAGCATTCACCATCTTGGGAGTCCAAAGACCGAATTGCGTCGATTCTGAGAATTCTCACAAATAACTTCCCAAGCTATCTTCCGTCAATGCGGACCAAATTGCTCCGCTTTTTCCACTCCCTCACCCCCTCTCTCCCACTCTTCGCCTCCCTCTCCCCCCACCCCCCTTCATTTTCTCTCCCCTTCTCCCTTTTTGTCTCCCGCCTTACCTCCCGTCGAGGCATTTCGCGTCAAACGAGTTATTCGCCAGGAGTACGAGCCGCGGCGCGGCCAGCGGCAACGGCGGCGGAGGGGAATTTCCCGCCAGTAGCGACAGCAGGTACTGCAGAAACGCCCAGACGCCGCTAAAATCAAATTTCCACGCGGCTTTATTTCTATGAGTACCAATCCGTCCGTTGGACGGTTTAACGGGTGACCGCCGAGAGTGGATCGTGTTTAGTCGACTGCTGTTCCCGGTAAAAGCATGTCTTTTAAAAGCAGTACCGTTTTTCGTTGTAGTGCGTGCTCGTAACTTGTTAATCGTATTCATTATCTCTGGTCGGCACAGCGCGTGCTGGCTGTGGTCGCTGTAGGCGCGCCGCGAAGCGGATAGCGTCAGGAATCATCAATTCGAGATTCAAAGCCCAAGTCGCTACCACGAAAAGATCTTACTCCCTAAGTGCGAAGATTCTAGGAACATTGTCGCTGCAGGTACAATACACAGTACTAGTGTGCGCACGTGATCATGTCGTGCTGGTTGTGTTGGATTCGAACATGGCAATTCAGCAGGTCGCGCAGCGCGCTTGTTCTTGTTGGGATGGGGCGTATTTGGGGCTCCATGGAACGACCTAACTTGAGGCTCGGAGGACACTAACCTGAGATAGCGTTTTGTAACAGAGGTACGGAACATCAACAGTAGCCTCGTACACAGAACACCTGCTACTGCCCAACGAGGGCCCAGATGTTCCGTACAGAGGTACTCTGCGGCCAATATCATTGATACTCAAATTATGCCAGGCGCGGTTCTAGAACGTAATCAACCGACATTTTCCTGGTAGAGTAACTACATTTACTGGAAGTTCTATTTGTAAGCACATTTTCAAATCAAATCGCCACCAGCACCTCAACTGCACGTACCCAACAAAGCAGAAAAAATGCTAAAATGCTTGGATATTAACCTTTAATAAGCCTTCAATTGTTTAAAACTATGCCTTGCGCTTGGATTGTCTCAACGAACAAACGACACCGTCCAGCAGAGATTACTGTCCGCAGAGAATTAAAAATAAACTGAATGCAAAAAGGCATCCAGTCCTGATGAAATCAACCTTAAACACCTTGTCGCATGACGTTTAAGATTGGTGCCTCTGTTACATAACATGCCATTCGATGTGGTTTTAATCTTCTTCTGTTCTAGGTCAGCAGGTCCATGGTCGACGGAAGGTTGACTGTTCGACCCCGTTCCGATGAATTATTCCCATTCGACATCCTTTTCGCTAGTGGTAGCAATTTGAGCTTGATACAATTCTTATTTCTTGGGTAGCTCTTCGACAGAATTGTTCATTGTTAACTTAAGTGACTGCGATTTGTTTCTGTCACATTTCAGAAGTGTTATTAGCGTAAAAGTGTGATTGAAAAGCGAGAACCAATCAGCGTTGAGAAATCGAGGTGAGTACCGATGCAAACTTTCTCTGGCATACTTAGAGTATCAATGATATTGGCCGGGTACTCTGGGCCCTCGTTGGGCAGGAACGCTTCGCTGGAGATCCGACGACGGCCCCAAAGCACCCTCAGAGGTTCCGAACCACCGCAGGGTTGTAGGTTCGGTGGGTTCCACCGACTCCCAAATTCTTGCCGTGTAGGTTTTGGACACCTCCGCTCCGCCCATCTCTCCTCCACCCATTCGTTCCAGTTCGCTACCCGGGTTTACGTAAACCGGGTTTACGTAAACCCGACTCAGATGGCACCTGGGGTGTGTTCCTGACTCGTGTCAGACTTCCGGTCTTCCCGGGAGACCCGAAGGTTTAGGTCAAACTTCCTGTCAAACTTCGTGTCTTCCGAAAACAGAGGCGAAATTCGGCAGAAAGACCCGAAGTTGGTCTCGGATGACCCAAAGTAGGGCCAGCTTCGTGTCATCCCCGGAAGACCGAAAGTTTGACGCGAGCCAGGAATACACCCCAAGGAAGTTTGGCCTCAAAATAGCCTTCCTGAATGGGAGGCGAGGTCGTGGAAATTAGGCTTGTACGCGATTCAGAACAGACCCAGGTCAGACTGTACTTCCTTCTAATCTGCATAATGTATAGCTAAAAGGGTCGTAACTGCGGAGATCAATCCTACAACGGTAGTGAGCTAGACTACGGGGTTGGCACGAACTACTAGAGGTGATCGTAGATTTGCTTGGTTCCTTAGTGCTTGCACATTCACGGGAGAAATTGGCAAGAGTTTTCACTAGCAAAGTTGGAATTCCATAATCATTGAAGAAGCAATCACAACAATGACTACATCAGGCACCTAGCAACCCTGCAGCTAGTCTCGTCGACCGCCAGCGCAGCTCGGTCGACCGCCTGCCAGCATTGCGTAGAGGAGCCGAGCCAGCACTGCAGAAGGGCGACCTGCCAACAAAGCAGGTCGACGGCGTGCCCCGTAGAACACAGCAGTGCGCGCGCTCGCAGGTGTGCGCAGACGATTGGCCAGACTTGTCTCGTTGGGCATCCGTCGGCTGTTGTCTGCGCCTGACGAGCCACATCGACTTCGGGATACCAGTCCGAAGTCGCCTGTGCCATCGCGATCTCGACGACCTTCGCGAGCCTTCGCAGAACTCGTCGAGCAGTTTACCCGGTCGACCTGGTCGACCCCTGGTGCTGTGGTCGACCCCCAGGTGCCTCCGGTCGACCACTGGGCCCCTCTGATCGACCACAACTCCCGTCGAGCTACCCCCTGGTCGATGGGCCCCTTCCGTTGACCAGAACTGCTCTGTCGACCTCCCGGTCGAACTATAGGTCGACGGACTGCTTCGTCGACCTCCCGGACGGCCCACTCGTCGCACAGACCAGTCAGTTGCAGCTGTCGAGCTCCTTGGTCGACAGCAACACCACAGCCGTCCGCTGCAGCTCGACGTAACCTGTTGAGCAGCTATCCCACTGTGAACAGTCGGCTGCTACTCCCGTGCATCCGACCAAGTCGTCGGCGTTGCCCAAGCGAGGGCGGGGCCAACACTCCATTCATGTTAACACTCCCCTGCCGCGCTCACGCTCGGGCCTCCAGCCCACACGATAGTACTCCACGGAGTAAACTCGTCCTCGGCGTGCACCCCACACACAGCACGCCGTCACCGCACCAGCCGTGCAGAAGGGCACGGCACCTGCTGCTGCACCTCGTCGTCGCCGTCGCCGACGTCGTCCAGGCGAACTTGGCCGATGGCGACAGAGCACCGCTTGAAAGGCGGATGATGCAGCGCCTTCGTCAGGAAGTCCGCCGGCTGCTCGGTGGTAGGGATGTAGTTCAGCACAAATTTCCCGCACCTCACCATGTGATGTAGCCAGGCGTAGCGTCGCTCCATGTGCTTGAGGTTACCCGTCAGCCCCAAGCCCTCAGCGACCGTGATTGCCGACTTGTTATCGACGCGGAGGATAGTCTGCTTCCCAGCGTCGAGCAGCTTGAATTCCGCAAGGAGGAAGCGAAGTCGATGCCCCTCCTTGCCGGCGTCCGTTGCCGCCACGTACTCCGACTCGGTCGATGACAATGTCGCGCACTTGATGCGCGAGCTCGACCAGGAGACTGCGGCCCCTCCGTAGACGAACATGTGCTCGTCCGGTTCTGCTTGTCGCCCGCGTCGGCGGCATCGACGTAGCCGATCAGCTCCAACGATTCTGGTCCACCGCCAAACTCCAGGGCAGTGTTGTGGGTGTCGGCGAGGTAGGCGAGACACCGGTCGGCCTCGCGCCAATGCTGGTCACTCCTCACCGTGAGGCCGCTCCCCAGCTTGCTGCAGGCGAACGCGATGTCCGGCCTGGTCGTCGTCGCCGCGAACTGCAGCGAGCCGACCTTCTGCCGGTACTCCTCCTCGCGCTCTTTAGCCTCCTCGTCGTTGAACGTCAGCTGAGCGTAGGCGTCAACCGAGACTGGCGTCTTCGGGACTTGACCGCCCTGCTCCTCGTCGATGAAGCGCCTGCGCAGCTTGTCGGCGTAGCCCTGCTCGTGCAGCCACAGCTTCCTGGCCGGCCTGTCGCGCGAGATCTCCAACCCAAGGTACTTCACCACTGGTGAGATCTCACGTAGCTCGAAGGCGGCCTCCACCAGCTCTTTCAGTTTCTTCAGCATCGCGGTGTTGCTGCTCGCGGCGAGCAGGTCGTCGACGTAGACCAGCACCCAGCAGATCACTCCGTCGTCTCCGACCTTGAAGTAGAGTGCCTCGTCGACCTGGCTCTTCTTCCAGCCAGCGCCCAGCAGCACACCGTCGAGAGCCCTGTACCACAGCAGCGGCGACTGCTTCAGCCTGTAGAGGCTTTTCAGCAGCTTACACACCCGGCCGGTCCCGTCGTTGAAATAGTCCGGCTGGTACATGTAGAGCACCCTGTCGAGCTTGCTCTGCAGGAAAGCGTTCTTCATGTCGAGCTGCATCAGGTTGAGATCGAGGACGACGACTATGCTGAGGAAGATCCTCAGCGTGACGTA